ATGCATCATCTCGAAGAAGTTCACGAATCTGAGGACCAACAAAGACACCTTCTTTTATCTTAGCTTCACTTAACCTTGGAAATTTTCCACGGAGGTACTTGAAAGCTGCTTGTGTTTTGTCAATGGCCTTGACAAAGTTCTTCATCAGACCCAGCTTGATGTGTAAGGGTGGTAACAAAATCTTCCTTGATTCAACAAGTGGCGGATGCTGAACACTTTTCCTCCCAGGCTCCAATGACTGTCGGAGTGGCCAATCTTTCTTGATGTAGTGGGAATCTCTTGCACGACTATCCCATTCACAGAGAAAACAGCAGTACTTTGTGTATCCAGTCTGCAGACCAAGCAAGAGAGCAACAACCTTCAAATCGCCACAAAGCTGCCACTGATGTTGGTCATAGATTATGCACCTCAAAAGTTGTTTCATGTTGTCATAGGTTTCCTTCATATGGACTGCATGACCAACTGGAATTGACGGCAAAACATTGCCATTATGCAGTAAAACAACTTTAAGACTCGTCTTCGATGAATCAATGAACAGTCTCCACTCATCTGGATCGTGAACGATGTTGAGGGCTGCCATCACGCCATCGATGTTGTTGCAGGCTACAAGATCACCTTCCATGAAGAAGAATGGGACAAGATCCTTTTGACAGTCACGGAACATGGTAACCCTAACATCACCTGCCAGGAGATTCCACTGCTGTAGTCTGGAGCCCAACAGCTCTGCCTTACTCTTGGGTAGTTCCAAATCCCTGACAAGGTCATTCAGTTCACCTTGTGTTATGAGGTATGGTTCAGAGGAGGAGGATGGGAGAAAATGTGGGTCCTGTGACATTGTTGGCTCAGGACCAGAAGTTTCATCCTCTTCCTTGTCTGACTCAAGTGAGAATGATTCTGGTGCATCAGGAACCGGCAGTCCTTCTCCGTGGGGTACTGGGCGTATAGCCGATGGAATGTTTGGATAATGCACAGTCCACTTTTTCTTCTTTGACACACCTTTCCCAACTGGAGGCACCATGCAGAAGTAACAATTGCTGGTATGATCTGTTGGCTCTCTCCAAATCATTGGCACTGCAAAAGGCATAGATTTCCTTTTCCTGTTCAACCACTGGCGAAGATTTGTTGCACAAGTGTTGCAGCATATGTGTGGGGCCCACCTCTTGTCCTGATCTCCAATTTTGCATCAAAATAAAGGTGATAGGCTTTCTTAACCATAGTGGTTATACTGCGCTTTTGTGATGCAAAAGTCACTTCACCACAAACATAGCAGAAGTTATCTGCACTGTTCACACAAGTACGAGGCATCTCTGCTCACTTTGGCTAAACAGAAATGTGTCCTTTTGCAAAATCAAACACTGACAAATAAGAGCACGACACTGTATGATTTCTAGAGCTGATATATGGCAATTTGTTCAGCAGTGTGATGTAAGCTTCGTTATGATTGCATCATCCATGACTTCTACGACTAACGTGATGCAATTCATATCATGTATGACGGAATACCAGCTTCAGATTGCATCATTCATTGTTTTGCCTAAAAAGCAAGTACTGTCCAAACCCAGTCATAGATTTATTCATAGATCCAGTCAAAGATGTATTTTAGTCATTTCTGGTTTAAATTGAGATCCCTTCCCTTTATAACTCACTTATCCTCCGCCATTCCCAAGTCAAGGGTCGTATATACTGACCCAATAGCATATCTTGAAAACTAGAGCCAATCAACAATTTTAAGCATCATTTTCGTTCTCAGTGACCCAAAATTAGTAAAGTTTGACTACATTTATTTCAGAAGCATTTTGGCTGTAGAGCAGTGTTATCTATGAGAACTCGGATCACGGGTGAGATCCTAGTGGACTGAAGAAGGGCAAACATAATACCTATCTTTCAAAGGGTAACAGAGGATCAGGGGAATTATAAACCAGTCAGTCTAACTTCACTACTTGGAAAAATACTGGACCAAATTATTCAACAATAAGTCTGCAAGCATTTAGAGCAGTGGGAGCAACCTGCGGCCCATCAAGGTAAGCTGATTGTGGGCCGCGAGACATTTTGTGGCAGGCATGACCCCCCACAGCTCCCAGTGGCCACGGTTCACCGTTCCCGGCCAATGGGAGCTGTGGGAAGTGGCGGCCAACACATCCCTGCGGCCCGCGGGGTCTGTCCTGGGTCTAGTAATATTCAATTTTCATTCATGACTTGGATAAAGGAGTAGAGAGTATGCTTATAAGATTTGTGAATGATTCCAGGCTGGGTGAGGTTGCAAGCACTTTGGAGGACAGGATTAGAATTCAAAATGACCTTGACAAATTGGAGAATTGATCTAAAATCAACAAGATGCAATTCAGAAAAGACAAGTGCAAAGTACTTCATTTACAAAGGAAAAATCAAATGCACAAATACAAAATGGGGAATAACGGGCTAGGCAGTGGTACTGCTGAAAAGGATCTGGAGGTGGTAGTGGAACACAAATTGAATATGAGCCAACAATGTGATGCAGTTGTGAAACAGACTTATATAATTGTGGGGTATATTAACAGGATTGTTGTATGTAAGACATGGTAAGTAATTGTACCACTCTGCTCAGCACTGGTGAAGCCTCAGCTGGAGTACTGTGTCCAGTTTTGACACCACACTTTAGGAAAGATGTGGAGAAATTAGAGAGAGCCAAGAGGAGAGCAACAAAAATAACAGGTTTAGAAAACATGACCTGTGATGAAGGGTTAAAAAAACTGGGCATGTTTAGTCTTGAGAAAAGAAGATTAAGGGGGGGGGATCTGATAACAGTCTTCAAATATTTTAAGGGCTGTTATAAAAAAGATGGTGAGCAATTGTTCTCTATGTCCACTGAAGGCAGGACAAGAAGTAACGGGCTTAATGTGCAGGAAGGGTGATTTAGGTTACATATTAGGAAAAAACTTTCTAACTATAAGGATACTTAAGTACTGGAATAGGCTTCCAAGGGTGATTTGTGGAATCTCAGTCATTGGAGGTTTTTAAGAACAGGTTAGACAAACATGTCAAAGATGGCCTAGGTATATTTGATCCTGCCTCAGCAGGGGGTTGGACTAGATGACCTCTCAAGGTCCTTCCAGCCCTACATTTCTGATTGTACCACACATTTCCCTGCTTGACTGGGATACAGCTGCACAAAAAGTTCCAGATCACTTATTTGTTTGTTTGGGTAAACTGCCTGCCCAAGTCCATCTCCTATTTTTGAACACAGTTTAAGTGACTGGTAAGAAATAGCTGAGGGCATATTATATTTCAGATGTTGCTGCATTACACAGTGGAAGGATTAGTACACTGCTTTCTATTTTAGTTGGGAGTCTGAGTATATCTTTCTTGTAAGCTGGAGTACAGGCAAAGTACTTTAGTTGGAAAATATTGCCAAACATATATTCTGTGACCTAGCAATGTTTGTGAGGGATACAGCTTTCAAAGTTATTCCTTTAGAATGCTTTCCTCAAGCTCAGACTGGTGAGTCTGACAATCAAATTTCTGGCAGCCTTTGTTTCCTTGACTAAGATCAGCATTACCTATAGGAGTAAAAGGGAAGATATATTCAAAGACATTGGCTTTTCCCCTCACTTTTTCCAGATTCTAATGACATGGCCTGCAAATAAATGTTGTACTAACTACGTTTGGTTAGATTTGGTGAAGCAGCTTGTAAATGTGGTATGTTTAGAAGATTACTCTCTCCATTTAGACCCAGCAGCCTTACATTGTATAATTATGCTTAGTAGTGAATTGAACAGAGAAAGGAAGCCCACTAATACATTTTAAATTAGAAGTTCTCGCCATCTGATTTCTCTAAGACCACAAAGGATAGACAATTTATTGTAGGTTTCCCATTTTTTCTTTCCACCTGATTTGATTAAAATTCTTGAGACAATCCTGGATTTAGTCACCAGATGGCACTGTAATGATATTCTCTTGTAATCCTCTCTGAATAGCTGAGGTTTCATTTGAAGTGACCCATAACATTGTCTACAATGAAAAATTATTGCAACTTTTTAAAAAGAGTTCTAACACCTTCATTATTTGCAGTTTTACTTTGAACTTTGGCAGGGAGATAGTTCTGGGAAGGGCTCTTTATTGGCCTCATGCAAATCCATTCAGATTTTTCCAAGTTAAAGGTTTTGACAATTGCCACTGCCTGTCTTTGTCTGACACAGCACATGCTATTTTTAGAAATACACCAAAATCCCATAACATGCCATTAGCATGGCACATGCAGCTCCCTGGTACTTCAGCATTTTCCACTCAGAGCCGAACCTTCAGATGGGACAGACAAAAATGCATGACGGTCATTATCCTCTTCAACCTGCTGCAGCTTTTCCCTATCCCTATACATTTTGGTCTAGGTCCAGGAGAATATATAATGTACTAAGGCCTAGCCCTAGGCACCCACAGATTCTAATCTAGAGTCACCTGTTTTACTAACCGGTGTTGTTAATTCTGTGCCTTTCACAATCCTTATTACTGATCACAAAGTGACAGGTTATACAAATTGGGAATACAGCACAGATCTCTATCTAGTGCAGCAGAACCTTGTCTCAAAATTAAGAACAAATAAACTGCGTGTATGAAAACATGCTTAAGTAGCAGTCATGCATCCCCTCTCTCCCTTCCCCGCTTGTTTGTTTTGAATCTTGTTTATTTCAAGGGCCTGATCCTCCAAATATACACATGCAAATTAGGGGGGTACTGCTAGTAATGTTCTGCACGTGTGTTTGCAGGATTAGGGTCTAAGCGAGTAAGCACTTTAGGGCAGTGACTACTATAATGAAACCCCAGACTTTTTCAGGCCTTTAGATATAACGTAGCTTTACGATGAAGGACCTAAAACTGCTTCACTCGCTGTAGAGATCCACTAAACCACAGCCGTTTCGCTAGAGGGTGGCTGCCAAGAAGGGTGCGGCAGGATTTAAAAGGGCAACCCCCTGCGCCCCCTGCTCTTCTGAAAAGCGCCATGGGATGAACGTCCCAGCACAGCGAACGGGGCATTCGGGGACACAAGCAAACCTGCCCCCACCCCATTGGAGTACGCCACGGCGCGCGCTCCAGCCCACACAGTCCCCGACTAGTCCCAGCTTCCACACGCTCGGCTCGTACGATCCCCACGCCCCCTTCCTCCCGCCGGTGGGAGTCACTGCGCAGGCGCAACGGCTGGGCAGCTGGAGGGCGGGGCTTTCCTTAGAGACGTTAACTCGTTGGGGTTGGCGCCGCCGCCATTTTGAATTCGCTCGCTGGTGGTCCGGTCGGTAGCTGCGGCGGCTAAGTGCGGCTCCGTGACCCCCTGAGAGCGCGAGAGAGACCGAGGGAAGACGAAGCATGGCAGCGAACAGCCGGAACTTGAAACAAGTGCGGATCGAAAACAGCTCCCCGGCGGCCCCGCTCGGCATGGTGGGGGGCGGCGGCCTGAAGGGGATGCGGGGCCTGGAGGCGGACAACGAGGTAGGGGCCATGGCGCTGGCGCAGGTCAAAGAGGCTGGCGACGAGGAGCAGGAGGTCGGGTTCACCATCGACATCAAGAGCTTCCTCAAGCCCGGCGAAAAGAGCTACACGCAGCGCTGCCGTCTCTTCGTGGGGAACCTGCCCACCGACATCACCGAGGAGGACTTCAAGCGCCTCTTCGAGCGCTACGGGGAGCCCAGCGAGGTCTTCATCAACCGCGACCGCGGCTTCGGCTTCATCCGCCTGGTAAGGACCTCGTCCCCCGTACGTGACTGCGAGGGAGTCGGACAGGCCTCCCGGCTCCGGTACAGGCACTGTGTGGGGGGCAGTGGGACAGGTCTCGTCTCGGTGTTTGCATCCCGCACAGGCATTGTGGGTGGGTGGGACTGGGACGGACCTGGCCCCTACAGTCGCCTAAATTACACCCCCCTGACACGGTGGGGGGGGGGAGAGGGACAGTGCTTGTGTCGTTCCCCCCCCCTCCCCCCGGCCTCTGTGTGCGTGTTGGGGGCGGAGTGGGACAGATGTTTCTCTGCAGCCTCGTCTCCCTTCCCTTGTCAGTACGCTCATTGCTAGTGTCACTGCCACCAGCCTTATTGCTTCTCTTCTTCTGCTCCTCCGCCTGGTACAGTTCTTTCTTCCATACCTTGTCATGGTTCTGCTTCCATACACTGATTGCCATCTGCCTTATCGCCTCCATTTCTAGCCCCAGTAGTGCACACTGGTGCCTGTCCACCTGCATGTCCAGCTGCCTTCATGTCCCACCCAACAGTCCCACTTCTTCTACACCAGGGGTTGGCAACCTTTCAGAAGTGGTGTGCCGAGTCTTCATTTATTCACTCTAATTTAAGGTTTCGTGTGCCAGTAATACCTTTTAACGTTTTTAGAAGGTCTCTTTCTATAAGTCTATAATATATAACTAAACTATTGTATGTAAAGTAAATAAGGTTTTTAAAATGTTTAAGAAGCTTCATTTAAAATTAAATTAAAAATGCAGAGCCCCCCCCCCGGACCGGTGGCCCGGACACGGACAGTGTGAGTGCCACTGAAAATGGGCTCGCGTGCCGCCTTCGGCACACGTGCCATAGGTTGCCTACCCATGTTCTACACAGATAACCTGATACTGACCTTTTAATTTTCAATAGTAGAAAATGGAAAATGCTGCTTTGAGTAAGAAAGCATGTTTAGTTGGGTTGAGATGGTTGGCCCATCCTGGCACTGCATTATTTCCAGAAGTTTCTTTGTGTGACTAATTGGATTTTTCCTGTTTATGATGTAGCATGAATTAACGTTTTATTATACTCTAAGGAGGAGACTCTGGATACTTCTCCCCTCCTTTTGTACTTTAGTTCTTTGAAAGCCAAATATGCACAGTCTGAGCCCGGTAGGATTATTTGCTGTAGGCTTCCATTCATGAAAGCATGAACATCAATTTCAGAGGTATACTGAGGTATACGGAGTTATACCATTTGCACTTTAGTGAAATATATTGTTGTTAGATACAATTGCTGTTTCCTTGAGATCCTTTTGAAAAGAAGGGCCTACATTTTCAAAAGTTGCTAGTACACCTCTACCCTGATATAACGCGGCCCAATATAACATGAATTCGGATATAACGCAGTAAAGCTGCACTTGGAGGGGGCTGCGCACTCCGGCGGATCAAAGCAAGTTTGATATAATGTGGTTTCACCTATAACGCGGTAAGATTTTTTTGGCTCCCAAGGACAGCGTTATATCCGGGTAGAGGTGTACCAGTGTTTTTGCATGCCCCACTTAATGGTCTCCACTTTAAGAAACCTTAAAGGGGCCTGCCTGGTTTTTGGATGATATGTGCTCATCATTTCTGAGGATCTGGTTTCTGGTATCTCATGAAAAAATTGAGGCAGTCAAAACTAGGTTATTGGACATAGGTTTTAACATGTTAGTCTGCTTGCTATGCTGAGATGCTTTTCATAGCCAAATCGGCTGTAAATAGAGAATGCACAGGGTGGTGGGCATAGAAAGGCAGAGTTAAGATTTTTTTGGGGTACTTAAATTGTCAGTTTCCATAATTTACAGTATTTTAGATTTGTTTTAAATTGTAACTTTGCCATTGATTTTTCTAATGTCTAAACACTTGTATTTTTTAAAAATGTTGCTATACATTGGCTTTTTTTCTTGACTATATAACTGGGAAAGAATACAGTCCCTTTGCTAGTAGTAGCTGAGAGGATTAAGAAATGGAGCATCTCATGTCACTTTTTTGCAGCCTTTTTGGCCAACTGAACAATTTTGCAGAGGTTGTGGAGAAAGCTGTATCCCACTTTCCTTGGTTTGAGGAATGATTCCTTTAGTACAATAACTTGGGGTATAGGTGAAAGAAGTTAAAGGAAAAACTCCAGGATAAGAATGGGAGGGCAACATCAGGGAAGACCGACACTTGGGTTAGATAGATCCAAAAGACACAAAAACAAGTGAAGGGTAATAAATACAACAGGCATAATGAAAATCCCTAGAGAAAACAAAACTCTTTTTGTACAAGGATGTAGCTTGTATTTTACTTTATTTCAGCTGTCAGTTCAATCAAAAGTGATAGTGGATAAAAAGAATGGTAACAAAAAAAATTCCCTATAAATTTAAAAATTTCTGTCAAAGAGTGAATGAGGGAAACTCCCCCCCCACCCCACCCCATCACAGATGCAGAAATGAAAATAATATATATATCCCTATGGAAAAAAAGTTGTGTGAAAGTTCTGAATTCACTTTGACTGTCATATAAAGAGTTGCATACTTTTCTGCAGTAGGAATGTGTTAGGGGAATCATCCTCTAACACGTGCAAGCAAAACTCATGAATTTAAAGTACGACATCGGAGGAATTGTCACAGCTTGAGGAGATTTTAGAATTAATTGATAAACTTAACAGTAACAAGTGGTTTGAGCATTGTCCTGCTAAACCCAGGGTTGTGAGTTCAGTCCTTGAGGGGGCCACTTAGGGAACTGGGGTAAAAAGCTGTGGGGATTGGTCCTGCTTTGAGCAGGGCGTTGGACTAGATGACCTCCTGAGGCCCCTTCCATCCCTGATGTTCTATTCTAAGTCATCGGGACCAGATGGCATTCACCCAAGAGTTCTGAAAGAACTCAAATGTGAAGTTGCGGAACTATTAACTATGGTTTGTAACTTGTCTTTTAAATCGGCTTCTGTACCCAGTGACTGGAAGATAGCTAATGTAACGCCAATACACCTCTACCCTGATATAACTCGACCCAATATAACACGAATTCGGATATAACGCGGTAAAGCAGCGCTCGGGGGGGGGGGGGGCCTGCGCGCTTCGGCGGATCAAAGCAAGTTCGATATAACGCGGTTTCACCTATAACGCGGTAAGCTTTTTTGGCTCCCAAGGACAGCGTTATATCGGGGTAGAGGTGTATTTAAAAAGGATTCTAGAGTTGATCCCAGCAATTGCAGACCGGTAAGTCTAACGTCAGTACCGGGCAAATTAGTTGAAACAATAGTAAAGAATAAAATTGTCAGACACATAGAAGAACATAAATTGTTGGGCAAAAGTCAACATGGTTTCTGTAAAGGGAAATCGTGTCTTACTAATCTATTAGAGTTCTTTGAAGGGGTCAACAAACATGTGGACAAGGGGAATAGTTAATTTCCAGAAAGCCTTTGACAAGGTCCCTCACCAAAGGCTCTTATGTAAATTAAGTTGTTATGGGGTAAGAGGGAAGGGTCCTTTCATGGTTTGAGAACTGGTTAAAAGACAGGAAACAAAGGGTAGGAATTAATGGTAAATTCTCAGAATGGAGAGGGGTAACAAGTGGTGTCCCCGAAGGGTCAGTCCTAGGACCAGTCCTATTCAACTTATTCATAAATGATCTGGAGAAAGGGGTAAAAAGTGAGGTGGCAAACTTTGCCGATGATACTAAAGTGCTCAAGATAGTTAAGACCAAAGCAAACTGTGAAGAACTTCAAAAAGATCTCACAAAACTAAGTGATTGGGCAACAAAATGGCAAATGAAATTTAATGTGGATAAATGTAAAGTAATGCACATTGGAAAAAATAGCCCCAACTATATATACAATATGATGGGGGCTAATTTAGCTACAATGAATCAGGAAAAAGATCCTGGAGTCATCGTGGATAGTTCTCTGAAGACGTCCACGCAATGTGCAGCGGCGGTCAAAAAAGCTAACAGGATGTTAGGAATCATTAAAAAGGGGATAGAAAATAAGATGGAAAGTATCTTATTGCCCTTGTATAAATCCATGGTACACCCACATCTTGAATACTGCGTACAGATGTGGTCTCCTCATCTCAAAAAAGATATACTGGCACTAGAAAAGGTTCAGAGAAGGGCAACTAAAATGATTAGGGGTTTGGAACTGGTCCCATATGAGGAGAGATTAAAGAGGCTAGGACTTTCCTCTTTTCCAAGCTGAAGACTAAGGGGGGGATATGATAGAGGTATATAAAATCATGAGTGATGTAGAGAAAGTAAATAAGGAAAAGTTATTTACTTGTTCCCATAATACAAGAACTAGGGGCCACCAAATGAAATTAATGGGCAGCAGGTTTAAAACAAATAAAAGGAAGTTCTTCTTCACACAGTGCACAGTCAATTTGTGGAACTCCTTGCCTGAGGAAGTTGTGAAGTCTAGGACTATAACAGCGTTTAAAAGAGAACTGGATGGATTCATGGAGGTTGGGTCCGTTGATGGGTATTAGCCAGGATGGGTAAGGAATGGTGTCCCTAGCCTCTGTTTGTCAGAGGGTGGAGATGGATGGCAGGAGAGAGATCACTTGATCATTGCCTGTTGGATTCACTAGCTCTGGGGCACCTGGCATTGGCCACTGTCGGTAGACAGGATACTGGGCTATATGGACCTTTGGTCTGACCCAGTACGGCCATTCTTATGTTCTTATGACATATTATTAGAATGAATTTTATGGAAAAACAAATGCAGATTGCTGAAATCATTGAACAAATGGAATCTGAAATATTCTTGCTTTGGGAAGAGGATACTTTGAATGTTGACCAATCCCCCCCCTAATTTTAATATGCTCATAATTTAAAAAAAATGTTTAAGTAATGGTAAAATAGCTGAAAACTAATAAATTGACTCAGTATCCTTGAGGAAAGTATAGAATGGATGCATATAAAATGTTTTTTTTTTTTCCCCCTCTTGGAAAGGAATCTAGAACACTGGCTGAAATAGCAAAGACAGAACTTGATGGTACTATTTTGAAGAGTAGACCACTTCGTATTCGATTTGCTACACATGGAGCTGCCTTAACAGTCAAGAATCTTTCACCTGTGGTTTCCAATGAGCTTCTGGAACAAGCTTTTTCTCAATTTGGGCCAGTGGAGAGGGCTGTTGTTGTTGTAGATGACCGTGGCAGAGCTACAGGAAAAGGTTTTGTAGAGTTTGCAGCAAAACCTCCGGCAAGGAAGGCTCTAGAGAGATGCAGTGATGGGGCATTCTTACTAACAACGTAAGTTAACGGGTTTTTTTTTTCTGGTCAAATTCGTGGGTGAGTGTTTTTATAATGTATAGAAAACTGCAACCACAAGCATGGCCATACCTTTTATTATTTTCTCAGAACTGGGACACCAGATTTGTTGTGAAATAGATGTCAGCTGGAAGGTCATTTTGAGTATTCACACCAAGCATCTTACTTTGCTCAAGAATTTTTCTCTGAAAACAAGCTAGTTATGAATTATATCTAGAGCCATAAGATTTATTTGATTATATGTAAATACAGTATTTTCATGGGTAGGTGGTATTATTTTCTTTGTAGATTCTTTAATTATTTGCCAGTAACTTTTACTTTCTCCATAGCTGTTCAGAATTCTCCAAAGGTAATTAGATTCTTTTTGGTTTCACTCCTGACCATGAAGTTTCCAATAACAGTAGTGAAAACTGACAAGACTCTAGTTGGTGTTTACTTTGCGGTATCTTGGCAAAACCATAAGCAGAAGCATTGAAGTTTTCTATTTGCAGACTTAGGACTTAGGAGGAACATGACCCTGCATCTGTTCATATTTTGAAGGTTGTTTGCAACTGTATTGCTTCCTACTAACTGTGGGCAGGTAAATTTTTCAGGTCTTGCTATTATTGATAGCACCTTATCACCTTTTTTTAATCTCTTCCTTCATACTTTTGTAATTCCGCCTTTTCACACTTTGCCATAATGGCAGAGGACTATCAGTGTTGTTGTGACTGCTCGCCTACATGCATTTGCTAGCAGCAGTTTCATGCTGCTTTGCTGATTATGGTTGAAATTGCAACTGCTTAGGAAAAATGTATTGTGCAATTATCTGTAACTTTTCTCATTTGGGTGAATGTCATAGTGTTTGAGTGAATAAAAACACATGATTTTGGCCTGAATTAAAAATCTGAAATATTCCCTAATGGACTAAATTACAGGCATATTTAGTAGGTCCCCGTTGTGGCTGCTACATTGTGTTGCAGGCACATTACATATGGCACTCATTACAAGATGTAACTGATAATGGAATCATTATGCAACTGTTTTGTTAATATACTTTTGTGCAAACTGCTGTGCTACAAAGGGCTGGTCTATACTTAGCCGCTAGTTTGGCGGCTGGAAATCGAACTTCCGGGTTCGATTTATCACGTCTGGTCTGGACGCGATAAATCGAACCAGGAAGTGCTCGCCGTCGACTGCGGTACTCCAGCTCAACGAGAGGAGTACCGCGGAATCGACGGGGGACCCTGCCTGCCGCGTGTGGACCGCGTCTGAACTGCGGTAAGTTCGAAGTAAGGTATGTCGACTTCAGCTACGTTATTCACGTAGCTGAAGTTGCGTACCTTACTTCGACTTGGGGGGTTAGTATAGACCAGGCCAAAGATGTAGGATAAGGAAAGAAGAAGCGCCATGGAAAGAATAGTGTGGCCACCAGAACTTTACATTACCAGTTTTAGTATTCCAGAAAACTATCATACAATGAAACAATTTGTTACACTGTATGTAGCTTTTGGGGTTTTGTGAAGATCTACATAATGGGATGAGATTTTTCACATTTTTTACCCATCCTGATTGGTTTATGCAATTGTATTGAAAAACTCTTGTATTATATGTTGAATGCCCTTAATAATCAGGGATCGAGGGAGCTTTTCAGACCATTGAGGGCCAGATTCTGCCATCCTTGTGTTGATATCTTGCTCTGCGACTATTTCCATTGAAAATAGTCATATTTTCATGAAGCAAGGTACTACTCAATTTGAGTAAGGGTGACAGAATCAGGTACTCATGGTTTAATTTATTCTTTTTTAATTAATTGAGTTCTTTCTTCCATTAACATTTGATTCTCTTCATAAGTTGAACATGAGCGTATGCTATGTTGTAATGGCTATACCATCATATCACTTTGAATAGTATTGTGCAGTCCTGTAAGTTTTTCATTATTTGAAGCCTCTCTACTGTATGTAAAATAACAATATTAAAAAGTATAGAACTGACGATGTTGGGAAAGTAATGGAATCAGGGCTGCCCAGAGGATTCAGGGGTCCTGGGGCAAAGCAATTTCGGGGGCCCCTTCCATAAAAATAAAGTTGCAATACTATATTCTTGTGGGGGCCCCTGCAGGGCCTGGGGCAAATTGCCCCACTTGCCCCCACCGGGCGGCCCTGAATGGAATTGGCTTTCCCACAAAAGCAAGTCTCTATAATTCGTTGCTTGTTTGTGTTTGATACTCTGGTGTGCATTCTATTGAGGTATAGCTCATGAAGGGAAGATGTTGATTTCTAAGAATATGGCACTTTACGGAACAGGACATTTAAAAAGTCAGTTATGCTGAAATTATTTTCTAATTGTAATGGGAACTCTGATGTCTACAGTGGAGTCGCATCTTACGTGGGTTCTAAAGTCAGCGCGTAAGGCGAAAATCGCGTATAGTCAAAATTGCCCTTGAAAATCCCTTAAATAGCCCATAAAGTACAGTGTACATGGTTTTGTGTACAGTATATAACCCTGTACAGTAATATGTATAATGTATACAGTAATGCACAGTATATAATAAAGAGTACATATGCAAAATATAATTTTACAGTACTGTATTTTTAATTACATGAGAGAGAGATGGAAGAATGAAAGAATAAAAAAGGAAAACAGTAAACCACCATTCATTCTGGATATTCTTGCTAGTCTACAACGACAATGACACTATTGGGGGGGTTGTCAGGGCTTGATGTCAATCCAGGAGACAATGGGCCAGGCTCATCTGCTGCTGGTTGTTTTTTCTTGAAAAACATGGTGATCGGCAACTGTTGCTGTTGTCTCTTGAGCTGCTCAAACATTTCTTGATACTGTCTCAAATCGTCTGTGATACTACGTGTGATTTTGAGGCTTCGTTCCATAGAGGGATCGTATTCAGAAATTAAATCATTCAAGTGTTTCGCTGCTTCGAACACTTCAGCAAATTTATGAAGATTCCAACTTGCTGGCTCTTCCTATTCATCGTCATCATCTTTGTCTTCTGTAGACGATTTTATCAGTTCCTCTAAGTCTTCGTTAGTTAATGTTTCTCTTTAGTTCTCAATTAATTCTTCAATTTCTTCCTCGAGGATGTCGATGAAGCCAGCACCACCCACTTGCCTGGCCCCCTGAACAATGCGTTTCACTTCTTTGTCAATGGTCGGGAAACCCTTTAAAATCATTCACATATTCTTTCCATAGGTTTCACCAACATGCGTTGACTGTTTCAGGCTTGATTGCATCCATTGCCCGTTTAATATAAGTGATGCAATCGGCAATGTTGAAGGACTTCCAACGCTCCATCACATTAAGATTGGGATCAGCATCCATAGCGTTACGTATCCGTGAGAATGTAAGCCTCGTGTACGTGGCCTTGAAACAGCGAATCACGCCTTGGTCGAGAGGTTGGAGGATGGAGGTGGTATTGGGGGGGAGAAAGACAACTTTAATGTCATTATGCGCAAACCGGAGTGCCTCGGTGGCCAGGAGCATGCTCTACGATCAGCAGCACTTTAAAGTCAAGTCCTTTCTCTTCGAGGTACCACTTGTCCTCCGGAATGAAACACTTGTGGAACCAATCCAGAAATAATATCCAAGCCTTTTTGATTGCCAGAACACAGGCAGGAGATTTTTGTTCTTGCCTTTTAGGGCACGGGGATTTGCAGCCCTGTAGAGCAAGCTCGGCTTTATTAAATGCCCAGCCGCATTGCTACAAAACAACACAGTCACACGGTCTTTAGCTGCTTTGAAGCCAGGAGCTTGTCTTTCTGATTTCGAAATGTAAGTGCGGTTGGGCATTTTGTTCCATAAGAGCCCAGTCTCGTCAGCATTAAAAACTTGTTCCAGAAGATAGCCCTTTTCTTCTATGACTTTCTTTAATTGTTTGGGGTAGGCTTTTGCTGCCTCTTCATCGGCAGATGCAGCTTCACCAGTAGTCTGCACGTTTTTGAGGTTGAAGCGGTTCCTAAAACTGTTAAGCCAAACTTGGCTGGCTTTGAATTCCTTCTCATCAGAAGGCTGTCCCTCTTCGGCAGGAGGTTTGAACAGCGTGTAGAAGCTAAAAGCCTTTTCTCGCAATGTGTTGTCATCGATAGGCACATGTTTATGGTTCATGTCTTCCAGCCATAAGTTTAATGCCTTTTCAGTCTTCACTAAAGTCTTATCACGCACCTGGCTCGTCACCGTAGCAGTTATTGGAGCACTTGATGCCACGGCTTGACGAATTTCTCTCTCGAATCTTGATGGCACGGATGCTAGATTCGTTGGAGACCGACATACCATCTCTCAATAAGTCCAACACAGCCAGTTTTTCCTCCAGCGTTGGAACAGATCACTGTTTCTTCGGTTGAGCACCAGATGAAGTAGCTGGCTTGCGTTTAGGGGCCATGTTGTACGGAAAATACGTATCTTTAAACATTAGAATCACACTCAACGCGGCGAGATGCTCACATTATGAGAGGCACGCAGGAACTGAGACCAACTGAGGGAACAGCAGATTCACGTCTCCCATCTCACTCCGGGGCATACACTCATTGCGCGCGTATAGTTGAATTCGCGTAAGTTAAATGCGCGTATGATGCAACTCCACTGTACTTATCAATTCTATTTTTAATTGTACAGGTAACTTTCAAAAGCATCTCTGTATTTCTTGTAATTTTGAACAAAGCTGCTGCTGTTTATTTGTATTGTGATAGCTTCTAGGAGCCCCTCTTGTGGACCCAGACCCATTTTGCTACATTTGTACAAATGCATAATAAAAACATGGTTCCTGCACTAAAGAGTTTAAAGTCGCCTGTAAACAGTTATTTTTAGTTTTTTATACATTCTTTAAATTGCTCAATTTATTTTTCCATCAGGAGAAGGCCAGTAGTGTTTTCTAGATAAAATAGTTGGCTTACGTGTAAGACAAATTTATTGTATTCCCTCAGACAATGTTTTTTTAAAAATTTCATTAAACATGAAGGAGTTGTAGCTAACAGACCCTAAGAAGTCATTTTTTAGAACGTTTTCCAACAATATTACAAAATGTAACTTGTTTCAATGTAGATTTCCTTGGTTTAATTAATGAACAAAAATATTAATACACACAACCTTCAATATTTCTTTCAGAACACCTCGACCTGTTGTTGTAGAACCTATGGAACAATTTGATGATGAAGATGGGCTACCAGAGAAATTAATGCAAAAAACGCAACAGTATCATAAGTAAGTTGGATTTAGATTCAGATTTCATTAAACATTATTAGGTTAGCTTGGTGAACAAAAGTTTATTAAATTTTATCTTGATGTGTGGAGTGAGGATGGGAGAGTGCTGTTTGTATAATAAGCAGATTTTTTGTTTTTATTTTTAAATATACATACAATTGTTAAACTTTCTAAGATTAGATGTTAGGCTTTCCTGATTACGAAGTGCAAACTCAGATAATAGGCACTCAGTCCCTGATCCTGAAAAGATTTGTGCACATGTTTATTTTTACTCTGAGCAGTCCCATTGACTCTGTATATAAGTCCCTGCAGGATCAGGGCTTCAAATACTGCAGTGATCGGTGCAATAAAGTAAACTGAGAGTCTTGAGTGTCAGGAGAAACCAAAGTTCTTTTAATTTAGAACTTTTAGTGTTGAAATTTGAGACTGTCCCCAAGAAATCCTGATTGCTGGAGCCAAAATGCTTACTCAGATGACAAGCAAAAATAGAACGATTTATTTTTAAAATAATGTATGAGATAATATTTTGGTTCATTGCTCTTTAATGAATTATTACAATAGCACAAGCATTCGAAAAGGATACTGTGAACTAAAATTTTGATGGGCTTTAGTTTTTGAAGTCTTTGAGTAATATTTTAATACAGCAAGCCTTGACACTTTTTCAAACATTGGTATTAAAAAAATCATGTTTATAAGTCACTTTCTTAGCAGCCTAATAATTATTAGTTTAGTTGCATAGTCTTCTGCTAAAGCATCAGAAATTTTCAATATAATGCAAAACAAGTCTTCCTTAAAAAGGAATCAATTTAAAGGGGGCTTGATTTGGACTATTTCTCTGGTCATGCAGAGTAATCTTACTGCAGAGTCCTACCATAAAGTTTTGGGACTGAGTTCTGAAAATGAGCTAATATTTTATAATTACAGAAATTGTCTACTTGATTTAAAGTTAGAAATTGAACCTGAATGTTTGATTAGGAATATATTTTGCTACTGTAGCTGGTTATAAATACATATTTCTGTACATTTTAACTGTGTACATTTTTATTAGGGAAAGAGAGCAGCCTCCACGTTTTGCTCAACCTGGAACATTTGAATTTGAGTATGCTTCCCGATGGAAGGCTCTTGATGAGATGGAAAAGCAGCAGCGAGAACAGGTTGACAGGAATATTAGAGAAGCCAAAGAGAAACTAGAGGCAGAAATGGAAGCAGCTAGACATGAACATCAGTTAATGCTGATGAGGCAAGGTAAAAATCAGATACTCCGCCTACTATAAAAAGAACCTGTTTCTCTAAAAAGGTTCCTTTGCATAACATATTGAGTGATGAATCTCAATTGTGTATGACACATGTAAATGTTTGAGATTTTGTTAGACTAAATATTTATTGGCTTTTTAAGAAAATACTTAGAGGTGGGAAACAGTTTTTCATTTGAACCAAAATCAAGTCTACTCATCTTTTACTTTCAGAGTACAATATAATCAGACATAAAACAGACTTCTACAAATTAAAAAAAGTGAGCTTTGCTGGTGACCATGGCCATATTCTTGTTTTCTAACTCCACTTACATCTAAATACTGTGTGTGGAGAGGCTGGGTAGCTTCACAAATTCAGTAGGAAGGTTTTTTGAGTTTGTTAATGTTGATTGTGATCCTGGGCTGAAATAAGTTAATTTTGCACACTGTGTATAGAGAAATTGTGTGATTGGCATTGCTCTTTTGTTTTCCATTTCTTATACAAATAAGAGTGTTGAGGGAGATAATTTTATAGTTTTAATAGCTGAAAGCCTTTTGCTTTGATGCCCAATTTAGGAGGCTAGTGCATGTATGAGTCAAGGAGTATTCCATCCTCACCTTCTTGATTTTTAGTTTATTTTTTTCTGCACAGTTGGAAGGACTGTCAGACTTCTGAGTAAATAATACAATAGCGTCTTTCATTACAAAGGATCCAAAAGCTTTTAACAAACCAGACACGTACAACACTGAAACCTGTTGGATAGTGGCAGGCCACCAGCACAATGCACCACAGTGGAAGTAGGAGTACTTGTGGCACCTTAGAGACTAACAGATTTATTAGAGCATTTATTAGATGCATCCGAAGAAGTGGGTTGTAGCCCACGAAAGCTTATGCTCTAATAAATCTGTTAGTCTCTAAGGTGCCACAAGTACTCCTGTTCTTTTTGCGGATACAGACTAACACGGCTGCTACTCTGAAAAGTGGAAGTAGGGGAAACTGGCCAAGTGCATCTGGGTAAGCCCTACAAAAAGTGTTGTGGGATCTTCTGATATCCACATTGGGGAGGAGATAGCTGGATTTTCAAGTTCTTATCCAAAAGACCAGTACACTGAGCATCATGCAGTTTTATTCTCTGTTTACCTGGATAGGCTGAAGGTCTGTGTCAACACTTAACGGATTTGAACCTCCAAGGTTTCAGAGCGTGTAGGTATTTCAAACCTTAAGCCTAGGTAACTAATATGTCCCCTCTGTCACATGTTTAGTTTTAACAGGTAATCATGCCATGACAATATAATTTCCCCCCTCTTCAAAGAACAAGATTTTCTTGTTTCTTGTGATTTTTCTGTAGATTTGGTTATTCCATTTTTTTTCACATCTAAGACTTTCATGACTGGGGTAGACTAAAGATATTTCCCAGGTGGCTTTACCGACAAATGCTTTGAAAAGTGGGTACTGTTAAATAGGTCACTTTTTATATAAATAGTTCCTTTGGAGCTAAAACTTCCAATTTGGTTATTTTTTAAAAGTTTGCTTTTAAAGAGTGTTTTAAAGAGACACAGCAGCTTAAAATCACATTTTTGTTTAATATTTTTATCTGCTGTTATAAGTAAGAGTTGATACAATGGCAGATGTCTCACTTAGGCCTTAATCTGGCATTATCTGTTATGCAATGGGAAATAGTCCCCTCTAGGTCTCCTTATGTGATGTTCTGCTTAGGACACTGAGAAGTGTAAGCCACTGTGTTACCCCACTGCCTCAGTAAGTGAGAACTTTGCTGCTGTTAAGTTGTGTGTCAGCTCTCTGACATACTAGCATTGACTGCCTTGCCAGCAAACTCCATAAGGCTCTCCTAGTCTAAATCTTTCCTTGAAGATAATCAGTGAACCCCAGTTCCCCAGAGAAGTCTCCTTGCAGTGTCCAATCCCACTAACAGAAATTAAGTTTGCTGCCTCCGAAGAGATAGTGTACACATCAGCCTGTTAGGTTTTCTGAAGACTCACACTTACTTCAATATAACAGCACTGAGATAGTTTACAAACTAAGAAAAAGTTTATTAACAAGGAACAGAGATTTAAGTGATACTAGCAAGAATAAAAGACAGGTATAGTTACAAACAAAACAGAATGCAATGTCTTGCGACTAAAACTTAACGTTAGCAAGTTACAATCTTTGCCTAAGCAGATTTCTCACATCAAGTTCGCAGCATTTTCTGCCTTTTAGGCAAGAGGATCCAACATTTGCAGTTTCAAAGGGTGCTTTCCCCTAAGTGCTGGATAACTAAAGTGTTTTTTTGCTCTGCTTATATTACCCAGAGTCCATTGTGTCTATCTCAAGAGCCAAGAAGACTTCCTGGCGGTGGGGTGCCACTTGCTAGCTTAATTGCTTTGCTTACCTTATCTGTAAATGTATTTTCATTGTCCTCTGGCTTACAAAGCTTGACCCAAACAGGCAAATCCACATTCCTTTGTCTAAGGCAGGTTGGTTTATCACCTCTCTCCACAACATATCTCATTGACTTTAAGGCCAGAAGGGACCACCATGATCATAGAATCATAGAATATCAGGGTTAGAAGGGACCTCAGGAGGTCATCTAGTCCAACCCCCTGCTCAAAGCAGGACCAATTCCCAACTAAATCATCCCAGCCAGGGCTTTGTCAAGCCTGGCCTTAAAAACCTCTAAGGATGGAGATTCCACCACCTCCCTAGGTAGCCCATTCCAGTGCTTCACCACCCTCCTAGTGAAAAGGTTTTTCCTAATATCCATCCTAAACCTCCCCCACTGCAACTTGAGACCACTACTCCTTGTTCTGTCATCTGCTACCACTGAGAACAGTCTAGATCCATCCTCTTTGGAACCCCCTTTCAGGTAGTTGAAAGCAGCTATCAAATCCCCTCATATTCTTCTCTTCTGCAGACTAAACAATCCCAGTTCCCTCAGCCTCTCCTCATAAGTCATGTGCTCCAGCCCCCTAATAATTTTTGTTGCCCTTCGCTGGACTCTTTCCAATTTTTCCACATCCTTCTTGTAGTGTGGGGCCCAAAACTGGACATAGTACTCCAGATGAGACCTCACCGATGTCGAATAGAGGAGAATGATCACATCCCTCGATCTGCTGGCAATGCCCCTACTTATACAGCCCAAAATGCCTTTAGCCTTCTTGGCAACAAGGGCATACTGTTGACTCGTATCCAGCTTCTCATCCACTGTAACCCCTAGGTCTTTTTCTGCAGAACTGCTGCCTAGCCATTCGGTCCCTAGTCTGTAGCAGTGCATGGCATTCTTCCGTCCTAAGTGCAGGACTCTGCACTTGTCCTTGTTGAACCTCATCAGATTTCTTTTGGTCCAATCCTCTAATTTGTCTAGGTCCCTCTGTATCCTATCCCTATCCTCCAGCGTATCTACCACTCCTCCCAGTTTAGTGTCATCTGCAAACTTGCTGAGGGTGCAGTCCACACCATCCTCTAGATCATTAATGAAGATATTGAACAAAACTGGCCCCAGGACCAACCCTTGGGGGCACTCCACTTGATACCGGCTGCCAACTAGACATGGAGCCATTGATCACTACCCGTTGAGCCCGACGATCTAGCCAGCTTTCTGTCCACCTTATAGTCCATTCATCCAGCCCATACTTTAAATTGCTGGCAAGAATACTGTGGGAAACCATATCAAAAGCTTTGCTAAAGTCAAGGAATAACATGTCCACTGCTTTCCCCTCATCCACAGAGCCAGTTATCTCGTCATAGAAGGCAGTTAGGTTAGTCAGGCATGACTTGCCCTTGGTGAATCCATGCTGACTGTTCCTGATCACTTTCCTCTCCTCTAAGTGCTTCAGAATTGATTCCTTGAGGACCTGCTCCATGATTTTTCCAGGGACTGAGGTGAGGCTGACTGGCCTGTAGTTCCCCGGATCCTCCTCCTTCCCTTTTTTAAAGATGGGCACTACATTAGCCTTTTTCCAGTCATCCGGGACCTCCACCAATCACTATGAGTTTTCAAAGATAATGGCCAATGGCTCTGCAATCACATCTGCCAACTCCTTTCACACCCTCGGATGCAGCGCATCCAGCCCCATGGACTTATGCTTGCCCAGCTTTTCTAAATAGTCCGGAACCACTTCTTTCTCCACAGAGGGCTGGTCACCTCCTCCCCATGCTGTGCTGCCCAGTGCAGTAGTTTGGGAGCTGACCTTGTTTGTGAAGACAGAGGCAAAAAAAGCATTGAGTACATTAGCTTTTTCCACATCCTCTGTCACTAGGTTGCCTCCCTCATTCAGTAAGGGGCCCACACTTTCCTTGACTTTCTTCTTGTTGCTAACATACCTGAAGAAACCCTTCTTGTTACTCTTAACGTCTCTTGCTAGCTGCAACTCCAAGTGTGATTTGGCCTTCCTGATTTCACTCCTGCATGCCTGAGCAATACTTTTATACTCCTTCCTGGTCATTTGTCCAATCTTCCACTTCTTAAGCTTCCTTTTTGTGTTTAAGATCAGCAAGAATTTCACTGTTAAGCCAAGCTGGTCGCCTGCCATATTTACTATTCTTTCTACGCATCGGGATGGTTTGTTCCTGCAACCTCAATAAGGATTCTTTAAAATGATCATTTAGTCTGATCTCCTGTATGTTGCAGGCCACCCACCCACTCCTTTAATAAGACTCATAACCTCTGTGTGAGTTACTGAAGTCTACAAATCATGATTTAAGTTACTGAGAATCCACCCTTTATATTAGTTTAAACTTGCAAATGACCTATGCCCCGTGCGACAGAGTAGGGCAAAAAAACCCAACAACCCAGGGTCTCTGCCAGTCTGACCTGGGGGAAAATCCCTTCCTGACCTCAAATATGGCAGTCTGTTGGATCCTGAGCATTTTGGCAAGATTCCCAGAAAGAATTCTCTGTAGTAACTCAGAAGTAACTCAGAGCCCTTCCCATCTAGCGTCCCATGACTGGCCATTGGGGATATTTGTTACTAGAAGTCGCAGATCGGCTATATGCTATGCTTGATGAGGATGTTTTTTAAAAAGTTGATCAAGCACCTCTCTTTAAAAAAAAAAATTATTGCACTTTGAACATTAAGAAAAGGAATAGTAAATATGAGAAAAATATGTCGTCATATAAATTCATGGTCAGGCCTCATCTGAAATACTGCATGAAGTACTGGTCTCCTCATCTCAAATGAATGTTGCAGAATTAAAATGAGTTCTGAGAAGTGCATTGAGAATGATTAGGGGCATGGAAAAACTCACATGAGGAGGGATTGAAAAGGCAGATTGTTTAATTTATACACTTTCAACATATTTCCTCTAATATATACCATTGTAGGCAGTCTCGTCATACCATCCCCATCATAAACATATAAAGCTCAGTCTTGAAGTCAGTTAGGTTTTTTGCCCCCCACTGCTCGTCTTGGAAGGCTGTTCCAGAACTTCCCTCTGATGGTTAGAAACCTTCATCTAATCTCAAGCCTGAATGTGTTGATGGCCAGTTTATATCCATTTGTTCTTTTGTCAACATTGATGCTTAACTTAAATAACTCCTCCTACTCCCTGGTATTTATACTTTTGATGTATTTATAGAAACATGGGAGACCAAAACTGCACAGAGTATTCCAGATGAGTTTTCACCAGTGCCTTGTATAATGGTACTAACACTTCCCTATCTCTACTGGAAATATCCTGCCTGATGCATTTTAGGATTGCATTATTCTTTTTCATAGCCACATCGGCGGCTCATAGTCATCCTGTGATCAACCAATACACTCAGGTCTTTCTCCTCCTTGTTGCTTTCAATTGATAAGTCCCCAGTTTATAGCAAAAAAAATTCTTGTTGTTAGTCTCTAAGTGTATGACTTTGCACTATTAAATTTCATCCCATTTCCGTTACTCCAGTTTTCAAGATCATCCAGTTCTTGTATGATATGTTCTTAAGGTAAAATATCTTAGGAAATATGTTCCTAAGATATTTTATCTTAAGAACATATTTCCAACACACATATATAACTCTTTGTACAAATACCTACACATAAATCACACAATATTCATGACCAGCATGTCACTAGCTTTCATAAAAGACCTTACTTGATGCTCTTAATTCGATTGCTTAGTCTTTGGGGTTCAGATCCCCCATTCTTCCGATGGGGTGGATGGACCCTGTTTGTCACACCTCACCACTAAGGTTAACATCCATTATCTCCCGTTCTGCTTCTGGGTCAAACAAGCCCCAGTGGTTTTTTGTGGAGTCCTTTTTTCTTGAACTGGAATTGGGAATTCTTCTACACAGTCTGTCTGATTCTGCTGGTTTGGAAGATCAGCTGAAACTGAGCCAAGCCCAAAATGGATTTTGGCAGCTTTGTCTTCAAATGTCCTAGGTCTGATGTTATTACCACTTTCCAGTTTATTGGACCTTCATTTTCATACTGGAGTAAGAATATCCACTTGAACCTCAATCTTACCAGGTTCTTGCTCAATTTTGGATTCCTGATGTGCTTGATGGGGATGTTTTTTAAAAAGTTGATCAAGCACCTCTCTTTACAAAAAAAAAAATTATCTATTGCACTTTGAACATTAAGAAAAGGAATAGGAAATATGAGAAAAATGTCATCATATAAATTCATGGTCAGGCCTCATCTGAAATACTGCATGAAGGTACTGGTCTCCTCATCTCAAATGGATGTTGCAGAATTAAAATGAGTTCTGAGAAGTGCATTGAGAATGATTAGGGGCATGGAAAAACTCACATGAGGAGGGATTGAAAAGACAGATTGTTTAATTTATACACTTTCAACATATTTCCTCTAATGAATGGAATAGATAAAGTAGATTGAGAGCTTATATTCTCTCATAGCACAAGAAGGCGGCAAGGGAGGGGACATTCAGTGAAATTGAAAGTTTCAAATTCAAAACCGATAAAAGGGAATGATTTTTCACACACTGTGTAATTAGACCATGGAACTCATTGCCACAGGATGTTGTTGAGTCCAAGAACTTCTTTGTATTAGGAAAGGACTGGATATTTATATGAACAAGAGTATCCAGAGTTGTAGTTAATGGGGAACATGATGATGAACTAAAAGAGTACAGTAAGGGAGATAAAACCTCAGGTTTTAAATCATTCTCTGTTCGGGATTAAGATGAGTCCTTCATTGAGGGCCAATTACTTTACATCTGCCTGTTTTGGGGGTTCTTGTACGTTCCTTTGAACTATCTAATGCTGGCTACTGCTGGAGACAGGAATTGCTGTATTGGGTAAGACCCATGGTCCATTAGTCCAGTATCCTACGTGCTCTTGACCGTAAAGGTAAATGACATTAGTTAAATGCATTGACCATTTTGATATGAGTTAGTAGCTCATTCCTTAATCACATTCAGATTAAGTAATAGAATGGTAATTTTCTAATTTAAAAATGAAATCACTTTGTAATAGTGCTGACAGGGTGGATTTGATTTAAATCAATTTGATTTAAATCACTAGTCAGGAAGACTTGATTTAATCATGGATTTCTACATAAAAGTGCATTCTTGTTGGTTTTTATAACCTTAATACATATTCTTCACAATTCAGAGATAGATGTAGGTTTCATTTTTAGAAGGTATACACTATACATTTTTAAAGTGATTTATTTTGAAAACTTTTCAGATTAGTTTTACAGCTATATCAGAAAATGAATGATTGTTTGGTTATTTCATTTATCAAAGGTAATTGAAGCAGATATTTATGAAGTCATTGAGAGGTGAACTATCTCCAATTCAACAGGTTAATCATTAATATTTGGAGGATTTTCTTGACATGCTGTATTAGGAGGAGAACATCACCAGACAGACATTTAAATTGTTTTATTTAATTAAAACAACGATGTTATGTATTCTGGATTTTTTTCTTCAACAGCAAACATATGATATTTTAACAAAACAAGCATATGAATTTTTGAATTTAGTTAAACATTCAAGTTTTTTAAAATCAGGTTTATTTTTGTTGTTTTTAACTAAAATCGTTAAATGAAATATTAAAAAAAAAAAATTAAATCCACTATGTCAGCCAGGTCAACATGAGAAACTTAAAATACTGACTTCTGCAGCTAACTCAGTCGTCTTCACCTTCATTTTCCTGTTTGTTCATAATCTGGAAAAGAAAAACAAGCTTTCCTGCTTTTTCAAGTCCCAAATGATTTCTTAATTTGGAATGAATTAGTCCAAAGGAAGAAAATGTTCTTTCTACACTGGCAGAAGAAGCTACTGCTGTTAAAAGTGAGATTATCACTTCAACAGTCTCTGAATCCAAGTGCTTAAGGGACTTCCACCACTTCACGGGTGTGACTTTCTTTAAAACATCATCAGCAAACATATATTTCTAGAACGTTTTTTATTCCCAAACTGGGTCTCTCTTATGGTCTGCTGCCATTACAGGTTTTCCTTTCTAGTGAGAGAATGGTATGGTAGATCTCAAATCAGTGAGGGCTGCACTCAGAAAGACCTCAAGACTTCTGGAATATGCTGCTCAAACAGTTTCACTTTTGTTTCTACTGCCTGTCCCTCCCTTCTCACATTTATCTCCAGACTTCTCCTTGTCCAGCTCTATTCCGCCCCCAACAATCTACTCATTGAACTTTCTGAAATTTTGCACTTTTAGAGAGAGGGGAGGGATTGACTCTGTGTACACAAATTTGCAGAGGGACAGTACGGTTGAGGTCTGTTATTTCTCACCTCTATGTATTTATTTATTTATTTTAAACCATTTTTGATGTTAACAAGCCCGTGATCTCTGGACACACAAATTCACAGTTTGAGAACTGCAAAACTAAGCATCTCTGAAGGTATCTTCTAGACTGAGCACTGAGTCCCATTGGGTAGATAGAAAGATTAACTTAAATAATCTATACAGAAACCCTTGGAACTCCATAAGATTGGGTCCCTAATCCATGAACTATTGGAACTCATTTACAAAACTTCTTAAACATTACATGAATATATTGTCTCATACTATAGAATTAGAATTTATAATCCCTATTCCATAATAAGAATATCTTTGAGCTATAATGTATCTTAATTAAAACTATCTTTAGATAGGTTTTTTCCCTCAAAAAGCATTTTCTCAAAAAATTCCGATTTAAATAAAAAAAATCTGATTTTTATTCTTTTTTAAAAATAATTGATTTTTATCCACCTTGGGTAGTGAACATTTTGCTATGTGCATTCCACTACTAACAATGGAACACTTGCAACCACTGAAGTAAAAATAATAATTAAGGGTCTTATATAATATCTAACTTTTTGCAGATCTCATGAGGCGCCAGGAAGAACTGAGACGTTTGGAAGAACTTAGAAATCAAGAGCTACAGAAACGCAAGCAAATACAATTGAGGTATTTTGTTTTATTTGGTATTAATCCAGCAATGTGCTAAACATTCTAAATATGTAACTGATATTCTAGGTCTAAGTGAATGAATGTAGGTATTCTAGTTTAGAGGGACTGATTATGAAATCTAGTGCAAGCAGTTTTTTTTTTTTTTTTTTTAAAGAATGCAACAATAATGCTTCTGTGCAGGTGCAGAAGAATATAAATATATGATGTTTCAATCCAGATATACTTAAAAATAAACAGAATATGAAACAGAAGGCTTACACCAATTAGAAAGTGGTATGTTTAATAATTCTGTGGGTTTATTATTTATTATGGTCAGCTGCGTTCAGTCTAAATAGCATAGAATTATATTAATTTATTTTCTACATTCCTTGTGCCAGTTTCTTTTAAGATTATGTAGGAGGTGCATTTGACTATATGAAGTTGAATTTGACCCATTTTGGGGCACTGTTCTTCAGTTAGATTAAAATTATGATACAAAATGATGCAGTCTCTTTAATTTATGATAGAGATTTTTCTGCAATAATTACCCAGTTATAACTTTCTCATATGCATCTGTGTGCTCTGACACATCTGTCTCTGAATACTAAAATAAACATTCTTTTTTAAGATCTATTTTTACAAACGTGGATGATATTTTATTAATGTACTAAGATTCAATAAAATTGGAGAAGGGGCTTAGTTACTTGAATTGAGTTTACCAATGCCTTTTGGAAGAACTGTTTTCTGATGCTCCTATTGCTTAATTTTGCATTTCAAAATAATTTACTGCAGTGAAATATGTACCAGAATGCAAAAAACAAATTGCAGGAGTTATTGATAAATTGTAGTTTTTAATGTTGTTAAAAAAATTCTCAGTTATCCAGGCTTAAACTATCATAACCATGGCAAGCAGAGAACACACCTATAATGCTGTTAGGTATATACCAGGTGTGTGCCAAAATACTTCAGTGAAATGTCAAAGCCCAAAAGGTGGAGTGGAGGACTAGTAGTAAAATGTTATGATGCTATATAATGATTTAAGCCAGGGGTCCCCAACGTGGTGCCCGCGGGCACCATGGTGCCCACCGGGGCATCTAAGTGCGCCCACGTACTGGCCGGCGTGCAAGCATCTGCCTAAATGCCACCGACAAGCAGCATCATCCAGAGGCGTCGCCGCCGAAATGCCGCCAGTCAGCGGCATTTCGGCAGCGACACCTCTGGATGACGCTGCTTGTCGGCGGCATTTTGGCGGCGACGCCTATTGACGTTGCCGCTTGTCGGCGGCATTTTGGCGGATGCTCGTCCGCCGCCACGGTCCTCCGCGCCAGACGAAAAAGGTTGGGGACCACTGATTTAAGCTATAAGAAGTTTTTTTAATTAACTTGAAATTCATTCAGTTTCGCCCTAAAAGTCTATTGAAACACTTGTATGAAGAGGTCATGAACATAATTTACACAAGTTTATGAATACTTTTAGACATGAAGAAGAACATCGACGTCGTGAAGAAGAGATGCTACGGCAGAGAGAACAGGAAGAACTGAGACGACAGCAGGAAGGAGGATTTAAGCCAAATTTCTTGGACAATGTAAGTAGAATTCTATTTGATTAAAATCTGAAGTGCAGAAGAACCTTTGGTTCTTTTCCTGTATTTTCAAGAATGACCAGATTGAAATGTCTTCCTCTCCGGGCTACTTGAACTACTTTCCTGTGAATGCTCTTATTTCTGTCGCAGAGAGACCACAGTGATCAATAGTATGGTCTCATTTTATCCCCCATGATTTTGCCTAGGGTACATATTGACAGTGCTCTTATTCCTCCAAGTCAGTTATTCAGAATTTTAACTAACTGAAGGTTTTTAGATATTCATATATTTTGTACGTTCAGGAAGTATTATCTCCTGTATAATCCCACAATTTAAACACACTTCTACTATTTTCCAAGGTCAGATGACAGTGTTTCCCTTATGAATGGAAATATAGATAATAGGCAAAGGTCATGTCTACATCGAGAGTTGCACTGGTTTTATTAAAGGCATTAATTTTAAATCACTTAAGTTTAAAGTGGTGCAAACCCCTGTGTGAACTCTCTTACTTTAGTTTGAGTGGTTTATTTTGTTTTAGATTAAGTCTGTCAGGGAAAATAAGCCACTTTTAAACAGAAATAAGAGTGTTTACACAGTGGCTTGCATGGTTTAACTAAATTGGTAAAAGTTTGTCTGTAGACAAATCCTAAGATTACAACCCATCTTGATTCTATCACTGTGGGTGGAAAAAGGAGAATATTTTCTAAATTAGGCCTAAAGATAACTTGCAAAGAAAAAAAGGGCATATATCCGTTTTCATGAACTGGGTTAGGTGGCCTAGTGGTTAGCGCACTAGTGTCACCACCCAGTGGATAGGTCTTACAGTTCAGGCCCTCTTTTAATTAGAGGTGCAGTGAGGTGGGCACATAGCTTGGATTCCTCCTGTAGTAGCGGCAATAGTAGGGGGCCTGGGCCTGCCCACTCCACCGGGCTCCGACCTAGGGGCCCTAGGAGAGTCAATAGTATGTGGCCCACAAAGGTGCCTTCCAAGTTACCTTTTGTGGGTCACTTCCTACCTTCTGTTTTTCTCCCGCCCCCCCCTCCAGTCCAGTATAAAGTGAAAAGAAAAAGAAAAGGCAACCAAACTATCATCCCCAGCAGGGCTCTGCACACAATCTTTTTCCCTCTGGGAGTCTTCTCCAGCTCCCTTGTCAGGAGCCTTCAGAGTAGGTCTGTCTGCCTCCCTCCTTAGCTGGGTTGTTCCCTTTTCAATCCTTTCTCTAGTTGGAGCATGCTCTGGAGGGGTGTGGAAACCTGGGCCCAGTCCTGTCTTTTTACCCCTTCTGGCCCAGCATGGAATTTGTATACTCCATCACATTTGGAAGATACTGATGTCTGGAGCGCTAGTGAAATGATGACATCATGAGAGAGAGGGAGAGTTTTAGACAATTTTAGACTCTTAGGTCTGGTCTATGGACAATTATTGTACTGATCTTTCAGTTGGGTGAGGGGTGACTTTTCTACAGAAATAGTTAAATCAGTACACCTAGTGTGGACACAGTTGTAATGTTAAGTTATAACTATTCTCTTTGGGAAGGGGAATAAGGTATGCACATATAAATCATCTTTATTCTGATATATCTGCGTCTGCATTATGGGGCTTGTGCCACTTTAAATATCCAGAATATTTAAAGCAGTACAATTTATGTATAGACAAGGCCTTAGCTTTGGGTTGTTTTTAGCACGTTCCTCAATGATTTCACATTTTGGAGAAAGAATATCATTGTTAAATATTCAGCACCATCGCACTAGCTATTAAGGTTGAAGAGAACACAACATGCACGTTCTGAGTCATCCCAGGAGGTTCTTTAGCAAAACTATACAAAATCACATTTGCTATTCCAAGCAGAACCCCCTTTTTACACTTTTTTCCCCAGGGTGGTGGTGATAGGAATGGAGCAAAAAAAGGTATGGGTTATAGTTTTCTGTGTGGCATTGCCAAGTGCTTTTAGAGGTTTTGGCCAGATCTATATTTGATTACACCTCTCTAAAAAGCTTGCTGCAGAAAATATTTCAGATTTTTTCCTTCATTTCCATACGTGCTTGCATTGTGAAAAAGAAAATGTGTAAGCATTGTGCATGTTTTGGGTGAGGGAAGCGATAGAAGAAAAAGAGATTTCAGAAGTCTGGAAGGTTACAATATTGCTATTGCCCCTTCGTGTGTAGTTTTTAACATAGGGTTATATAGGATTTATGTATTATAAAACTTACATAATTATATTTAAATATAGGATTAAGTATTTTATGATTGATCTTGAGACTGTACTTGAAATGCCAAATTTTACACTCTAGTTCACATTAGTGTCTAAAGACCTATAGCATATAATCTTTTACATACAGCATGTATTTTACCTATCCTCTTTAAGGCTGTATGAATTTGAACGTCAGATCCTGTCATTTCACTGAAATTTGACCCTCTGTTAAAGCTGATGTCCTGAACAAACACAAAAATATAGCATGAGAAGGGAAAAGGATGGTTCAAGTGGAAAGCATTTTAATTTCTGTTAATAATTTATGCTGCTTCACACATTGAAGTGGTCAGGATGCCTTTTTTGGGGAGCAAAGTGGTGGTGTACTTACTGTAAACTCTTTTCGGATAAACTTTGTATAAATGTTCCATTGAGTTCCACTCTGAGTAATTTGTGATCGCCTGAAACAGTGCTGCTGCAGGAAATTGTATGTATATTTTGAAATAGTCATACAAGTATGAATCTGCTAAAACTGGTATGAGTTACACTAAAAATGGTTGCATATAAATTTATTTATTTTAAATTGGGATATGTCATGTGAACTTGAAATGGCAGATTCCAAATACTACTATTTAACTATCTCATGGTTTTCAGGTCAGGTTTAATGATTCTAGTATTGTAGTGATAAGTTGGCTTTCATTCCAATAGCATTTTTAAAGCTGTGCAAAAATTAAAATACAGTAATTTACATGATTATGGAACTTTTCCTCTAACTGGTTTCTAATGGAAGGAATCCATATTATACTTACACAACTTTTACTTTTGAATGTAGCAGATGAAACCAATTTCATATATGTACATTACAGCACATCTATAGATAACTATAAGTAACAGTAATTTTAAAGTGTGAACGAGAGCTTCTTTATTAAAAACATCTGGTTTTGGAGTAAATCAGAAAGATGAACAACTAATTTCAGGATATTGAGAAGTGGTGTATCTAATGAATTTCTGCCATCAGATTAATGAATAGGATTTTTTTCTATGATCATATTCCCTTTTAGTGATCAGTTTCTAGCTCAGACTTGTTGATTGTAAGCAGATTTGATCTGCTAATTTGTCTTAGCATTAGACTGCCCTTTTATCAATATTGAGAATGTTTACTGTTTCAACCATGACAATCAAAGTTTGAGGCTTCAAATACAGAAGTAATTTCTATAATATATGAATATATTCAAGAATGGTTTTCACTGTATCCAATCTTTGCCAGCAAACTCTAATTATGGCATGTTTCTTTAATCCTTAGAAGATCATACACTCTAATATCACTTTTGTATATGGAAAGAAATTAGTAATTGTTTCTAATACTTGTTTTTGTTTCTTAAAAGCTTTGAAAATATAAGCTTCCTTCACTTATATCCTATCCTTTTCACTGTTCAGTTTTAAAGAAGGACCTAATGGTAAGTGTAATGATTACCAGAATTGGAACCCTTCATGCAAGGATCTTATATCAGGCTATCTTCATTCATTAAGGTTACTTTCCATATCTTTAATTATTTTTTAACTCTCTTAAACTTTGATTTTCAATATGTTTGACTAATTTTGAAAAGAGTTTGATTGCTATTTTTTAATATACTCTACTAATTGCATTTGATTCAGTTACTAGTCAGTGTTTCACAGTTTTATTTTTAACTGACAAAAATATAAGCCAAACAACAAAAGTTTCTAATTTAAGCTGTTTTAAGTCTTTGAAAGGTTGATTCGGCCTGCTTCCTCAAAGGATACGTCTATACTTACTTCTTGGTCCGGATGTAAGCGATCGATCTTCTGGGATTGATTTATCGCGTCTTGTCTAGACGTGATAAATCGATCCCGGAAGTGCTCGCCGTCGACGCCGGTACTCCAGCTCGGCGAGAGGAGTACGCGGCATCGACGGGGGAGCCTTCCTGCTGCGTCTGGACCCGCGGTAAGTTCGGACTAAGGTACTTCGAATTCAGCTACGTTATTAACGTAGCTGAATTTGCGTACCTTAGTCCGAAGTGGGGGGTTAGTGTGGACCAGGCCAAAGAAGTAATATTGAATTTACAAAATTAGGAATCTGCTTGCTCTCTGCCTTAATGGACGACTTTTTCCGAGGGATGTCTAAGGATTTTCTTCGGTAATTATTGTTACCTGTAATGCAGCGACAGTTACCCTTAAATCCCTTTTTTATACTGTTTAGGATTCTGTTTTCTTAATGTTTAAAGGTTGGCGCTCACAGAAGTCTGCCTTTATAGCTCAAAGATCACTATATAAATTCTATACAATTTTCAGTTATCGAGTTTTGTTCTAATTTAGTTTGGAAATTGTTACCTTTTTCCTACTTAATCTCTTCAGACAACTATCACTTTGCATAAATACTGTTCCTTGCTAGAAGGGGAACTTGTCTACAGTGGATAACAAATGCAGCATTTTATTTACTAGCCACATAAATATTTGCTTTTTAATGTGATATTTCTTACTCTTGAGCACAAATAACTTCAAAAGTTATACTTAGTAAAGCTATTCAAATTACATAATGTTTAAAAAACACTCCGTTGGATGCTAAAGTGAAAGTTGTGTGCATGTGTATCAAAACCATTTCCCCAAATGTTCGTTTCAGTGCTTAGAATCTGTTCTTTTAATTCACTTTCCTCCATTTGGGTGGGAGACGTGGAGATCATCATTCTGAACCAGTACTAACAAAAATATTGAGCTTTCTGGGCAGGTCTACCAAAAATAGGCAGAAATGCAGGAATTGTGTTCTTAGAGATATGGTGGTTCTGCAGCAGCAGCATA